GCCATGGGGAGTGTGTGAGCAAGAAGAGTGCTGTTCCCGAGCACCAGGGGCAGCTCAGATATCTGCTGTCACTTTGTTCAGGACACTCTCACTGAACATGCCCGGTGAACAGACCCCGCACCAGGATCTGACTCATTTGCCCCTTCAGGTCCCTTGTCATAGGGGGAGAAAGATGCCTTGTTCCAGGTTAGAGCCCTCTTCAGCCTCTGGGTCAGCAGATGCCTTTATGGCTACAGCTGAGGTGAAGGGTGGGTTAGACAGAACCATCCAGACCCTTCCCCTGCTGCAAATGGTATGCCACCCAATGTCCTCTTATCCTCAGGACCGAGACAACAGCCCCAGCTCCTGTGCTGGCCTCTTCATTGCTTCACACATCGGATTTGACTGGCCTGGGGTCTGGGTCCACCTGGACATTGCAGCTCCAGTACATGCTGTGAGTGCCTCAGGGATGCTCCTCAAGGCCAGGCAGCTGGCCCACGCCTGCCAGACACATCATCATTTCCTCCCCATGAGCTGGGCTATTCCCTCCCTCTTGTCCTGTCCCCACAGATCTCCTCTGGCTCAGAGGAGCTGCTTAGCTCATCAGAAAGGTTGTGTTCTATGTCAGATTATCTGTGGCCCAGCCTCCAGCCAGCTGTGCTGCCCCTGACCTCTGGTCTCCTTATCCCTGGGAACAGAGTAGCTGCTGTGTGCTGTCCTCCCAGCCAGCCTAGCCTATGCATAATAGGAGGCCCAGACTATCTCCACCCTGATCTGTAGCTATTAAGTAGGCTGTGCCCGCTACCCATTTGCTTCTGTTGGCCCTGAACATGTGAGGACATCTTCAGTAAGGCTCAAGACACCTGAAGTCTGGGTGTGTCCTGGGAGCTCCGTGTGGAGAAGGGAGATACTGGAGGGTGAAGAGGCCCCTCTGTGCAGAGGTGCTCCTCTAGCCTGTGCTCTCCACCTTCTGTCTGCAGGGTGAGCGAGCCACAGGCTTTGGTGTAGCTCTCCTACTGGCACTTTTTGGCCGTGCCTCTGAGGACCCGCTGCTGAACCTGGTGTCCCCGCTGGACTGTGAGGCAGATGCCCAGGCGGGCGACAACATAGGGCGTGACTCCAAAAGACGTAGGCTCGTGTGAGGGCCTCTTCCCACCTGGTGACACAGGGTCCCTTACCTCACTTTGCACTGACTGATTTATAGCAACTGAAAGATTAGATCTTCAGATGACCTTGGCTCTTCCCTTTGTGTGCCCACTGGTGATGGGAGTGAGTTGTTCTCTTCTCAGAAGACAGCTTAGGGGTCTGGTAGGGTCTGGGGAAGGTTGCCACAGATCCCCTAGGTCAGCTTCTGCAAACTCTATCCCTTGTCCTCCACCCTGGTCTTCAGAAACACCTCAGGTCACCCTGTGTGGTGAGTTACCTCCTGACCCAGGCCCCTGCTTCAGCCAGGGCTCTCTGGGATGTCCAGCCAACCTGGGTAGGTGTGACCCTATGCTTTGAAGCAGGAAGAGCCTCACAGCCCCTCCAAGTCATTGAAGTTGTATTAAATGTGGCCACAACATACCCTTGCCTCTGCTGGTTTTTTCTGACTCTATCTTCCAACCAGCCCAGAGTCTGGCTGAGGCTGAGTGCAGAGCTACTCCAGCCAGCAGCCCTCCACCTCTTCTTCTGGTTCTGAGATGGCTAGTTGAACCGGTTTTACAGCCCAGAGTCATGAGCTCTGGGGCAGAGGACAACAGCCCTCTGGCCTGTCTCCACACACTGTGGGATGTCTTCTAGAGGCTGTATTCATGTTGGGGTGGACCTTGCTCTCCTCCGCCCTGAACATGAACCTCCCTGTTCCTCCTGGAGAAGTCCTAGGCCACAAAGGGACTGGTTTGGAAAGTACTTGTGATTCCCAGGAGCCCAGCCAGAGTTCAGGGTCTGTACACCATGCCTGGGCTTTCGGTATGGCAGAGGAGGCAGGACTTGTAGTATCTGAAGATAAGTTTACTCCTTTCTGTCTCTTCCTTGGCATATTTTCCTGCCTGCCTGCTGCTCCACTGCTGCC